ACTTTCTCAGTGTGAAAACATTGTTGTGGAGTTTGCATGATTTCTGTACAATGACGTGAGGTAACCAAGCACAAAATATCTCATCTCGGAATGATTATCTTCTGACATACGCTCTTTTCATCACGAAAGCATAGTACAGGAGGAAAAAGGCAAGGAGCCTCTAGGCAGTATAGCTTTTCCTCCTTATTATACAACAGTCCCAGGTGAAGAGTGATGGGATGTATACATTAATATCCTTGTAAAGGTGAACGCCCAGGTGTGTTGTAGGTCGTTTGTCGGTATCTCCTTCCTCTCTGAAGGAGTTCCGAGTGTCTTTAAAACTAACAGGGAGTAACAGGGTGTTAATGTCAAGTGAAAGGTGATTTACACTAAACTGGCAACAGAATAACTTTCATATCAGACAGGTATCTCGCTTACATTGTAATAGGAAACCACTGCTACTCCGGATTATCGGGCACACAGACAAATTATTCCACCCCATGCTTAGTATGGAGAGCATAGAATAAGTTTACTGTTAGCTTAATCGGGAAGATTCTTTCTTGGAATTTTCTGCGAATTCTTAGCGACCTGTTAACCACATGCCTACTGAATTTCAAAATATATTACCCTGGTTTTACAAGGATGATTGAGATGACGTGAAGACAAATTTAGTGATTCCATATATAGAGATTTAAAACAACAAATGTGAAGACCATGACCTAAGAAAATAGTGAAAAAAAGTTTGTACAGGCAATGAATAAAGTTATCTATCTTTACAGTACCACAGCAAGATACGATCCTTATGTCAGCATTTTCATACAATCATGTCAATTCATGTATAAGCAAATGCCTAATATTTTGTAAAGAAACTTTTGTGGGTGATTGTTTATACCATTGAAAGAGCATTGATTATCATTTGTAAAAATCATAATTAGCCTCTGAGTAATAACTATACTTTTTGATGCTTGTGTTTTATATACTCTTGCTTTCTTCTGTCATTTCACCACCTCATAGGTAACTCTTTCCTTGGCTGGTTATCTTGGTCGACATATGCCTCATTAGGAGAGACAGGAACATCAGTTGTCTTGGTGGTAGGGTTAGTGGCCTCTGCATAGGTCTCGTCTTGTTCCTAGACCATCCTCATTCTGAAGATGAGTAGACATTGAGTGAGATCACTGTGGTGAGGATCAGTAGAGAGATCACTGCTGACATCAGCCATCACAGCTGAGCCCTGGACTCCTCACTACAATGTACAGCATTCTCGCTGTCTCCAGCACTGGGGTAGGCACCAGTTGGCCAGTGCCTGGGGTAGGCACTAGTTGACCAGTGACTGCGGTAGGCATCCAGTTGATAGTACCCTGTTCTTGAATATATAATTATATTTACACTACTCAGGTATAAAGTGACTTACGATGCACGTCCCAGCATCAGTGGGTCTTGTAGTTGGTCCAATACATTGCACCGCAGCTCCTTATAACCAGCCAGACACCTCCCTAGACAGCATGTCACGTCCGACTGGGGCTGAGTGTTACCCGAGCGAATGGAGCGTTCTCCACACACAGGCTTGGCATGTCACATTGACACATTCTCCTCCTTCATCACCAACTGTAGTCTTTGATAGCGGACAAGCTCCGTTGTTCATCGTCAATGCTCTGGACACTCATTACCAATACAGCCTGCATGCGAAATGTCTCTCTATGAGTGCACAGCATGTACGACAAAGAGTTCGTGATTTTTGTAGTGTGATAACCTCACAAGAGATGGATACCCTGCCTGAGAACTCACCACAGCCCTTTCCTCTTGAGCAGCTAAATGCTTGATATAGTTAGCCACTGCGCGAACAGATTGGGACATTAGCTGTTGTAATCCCACCCAGTGTTTGAATACGTGGTCTATGGACCCCATGCCTACGACTTCTCACCGAAAATTGTACACTGAGTTTCGCCGTTTTCATTCATGTCTGCTCTAATTTTACAGATACTCTCTCCGGGACCAGCTTCATTAACCGCCACCACCTGCAGATAGTATCAATTAGTTAATACATTCAAGAATGAATGAAACACATTTTGGTGAGCGAGTGTCAATTTTTCATGCATACATAGACAGTAGCTATGTGCCCAGCGCCCATCACACTATAAAAAATCCTGCATTCAGACGACTGGGTATGCTCGCTATGCTCCTCAACTAACTTAAAAAATTGGAAAAAGCAATAACACTTACCTCCATAAACAGGGTACCAGATACTCCACGTAACTCTGGGGTATTTTCCAATACGAGGAAAGACTGCTCCCTACGAAATCTTTTTATTTCCATGTCGTTCTTCCTGACGATCACTTGATACTGGTCCAGCTCGCAATCTCCCGGCATCTCGGGCCGCTCCCACACTACCACCTGTTCAAAACACTGAAGGTCTTTGACAGGTCCAAACCCTACGAGTGTAAATTTTAATAAGTGTAAATAATAACATTCGTATAAGGTATTATCTTTTAACTGAATATTGGTACTTATGCCATGAACTTCAGTAAACTAAGGGGCCATCTTCCACTTGCCAATGATGGTCAGAGTTGAACCTTTACATCCTCTACAGTTGGACCCTTACATCCTTCCTTTGTTCTGATGCATTGTGTCGCAGTCCTGCTGTCTTTACTAGTGGGGTCCTGGTCGCTGACTCCATTCTCAGCCGTCACTCTAACACAGTAGTCTGTACACGGTCTGAGGCCAGTGAAAATGCGCATTTCCGTGGACCCAGGGACACACACGGTCCCAATGTATGACCCCAGGTTGTCTGGGTCACTGATTTCCACCTGATAGTAGAGATCTGCTGTCCTCCCACCAAGGTCTGCTGGTGCTGACCATCTGACAGTTATACTGGTGTTAGTTGCTGGCAGTAACACATTACTTGGAGCACTGGGAGGTTCTGAACATGGAAAGAAGTTTTTACGTGGATTAAACTCAGTGTTCTTTTGCTTACTTGTGCATCCGTAGGTGAAATCTTCATCAACAGGGCTTTCATATTGTCTCTTTTCTGTTGAAGTTTCATTGTTTCTGAAGTAGCCATCTTTACAGGGACAGGAACAAGCAGCTTCCTGGGTTGTCTTAGTACTGGCAGGGCACTGCAGGCACACTGTACCGTCTGACCATTGATTAGCTGGACAGGCTATTACAAAAGAAAAAGTGTATCATAATAATTATTATATTTTCAAAGAGATATCCTTACCATTGCACCTTGTAGCCCCCCTATTTGGTTCATAGCCGCATTTACACTGACACACAGGGGTCTCAGGACCCCATGTTCCATTACTGAAACATGTGACTTCTGAGCTTCCAGAGACCACTGCATTCTCAACACAACTGATATCAATATTTGCTGAGCCAGACACTGGAGCAGGAGCATCAGGATAGCGGACCAGTCCAACCTGACGAGACTTGCAGTTGTTGCGATAGACTCTCAGTCTTGATAGAGCTATACATGACCCAATGTCCTGGACAGCTATGTAGAAACCAGTGGAAGATGGTGGCAGAGTGAAATTGTAGGTATTGGTGTAAGTCTTTGAGGAAACAGGTCCTTCCGGTACTGCAAAATTTTCATAATTTTGGGTATTCATGTATCCATTTCCACTGGTACTGGGGAGCTGTTGTGAGTTAGTCATGTAGTGGAGAAGATTGAATCTTTGTATACAACCTTGCCTTACTCTACAACTCTGCAATGAGTAAGTTGCTTCCACATGTATTGTCACATCATAGTTGTAAATGTTGGAGTCAAAATCTGAACTGATGTGTTGAGTAAAGAGCCAGTTATTCTGAGAAACTACGACACCATTCTGCCTCCATCCACAAACTCGTGTCTGAAATCGACATATTCCTCCAGCTCCTTGCTGCCACTGAAACATGCAGTATAATGTTTACACCTTTACTTTCTTTTAGCTAACTCACATAAGTTGGGCTCAGTGTTTCAGGAGTGACATCATTTCCATCAAAACTGAAGTCATTCCAGACTGCAGTAGCTATGGGAGAGTTTCCAGTTCCATTTCCAGGTAAGAGGTTCTCATAACTGTAACTGTCCATCAGATTCGTCTCATTGTCAGGATATTGTGGGGGGTTTGAATGATCAGTTGTACATCGTGCATCCTCATCTCCTGGAGCCTGGGCCCAGCACAGGCTCAGATGAACACAAAACAAAGCAAAGACCTGCAATGATATCAACGGTCAAACAAATAGTTGGCATAGGTTTTAGCACTGTCCCACCAATAGGCTTGCTTAATGCAGTAAGTAAATTGACAGTTAAAGTGCTATATCAAGCGAATGATTAGCCCTGGTTTGCATTGCCCCATTGCCCAATCAGATAGAAATGGATTACCTCATCGCATCGCACCAACGCAGAATGGGGTGGCAGGCAATTATATTATTACCTAATATGTTAGTCATCATAGTATTAATTGTGCACATGCACTTCAGGAATAGATATCAGTTTCACTCACATTTAGTGTGAGCAGTGGCCAATGCCAGTCATGAAAGTTTTGACATGGTAGCTAATACTTCTGCTGGTAGCTTTGCAAATATAATGCCCATATTTATCCAAGAAGAAAGATCAGCAAAGTAGTGGTTGTTTTAGTGATAGAAAAACACACTGCTACTCCTAGCTAAGCTACCCTATGAAGTGTTTGTAAGAGTGAGTATGGCTGAATTAGCTAAGGACTGTATTATACAGAGAGTACAGAGGTATCTAACGCAGATTTGAGAATACTGTCTATTACAATGCAATCCCTAACCTAGGACACTCAGGAAATGACAACACCTCTCTAATAAGTCCACTGTTACTTTTCCCCACTACCCAAGACAGGCAGTTCTTGCGCATAAGTTACCTGCACCTCACTAAAAAATGAGTTTCATTGTTGTGGAATTCAGAGAGCTAGCTGGCAGCATAACAGTGCACAGTAGCTGGTATTTGGCTGATTCAGTGCCAGCAAGATGTGTAGCTATTGCCAGGCCTCAGTAACATCAAGAGAAATTCTTATGAACTCTACATGCATGTTTTCTGCCCCCCCATTATCTACCGTGAGTCCATTTCTTAATTGTACCAGCTAAAACCATAAAGAAAAAGCTAGCTAGCTACAGAGAAAACACAACAACGCGCTGCGCAACACTCGTACGATAGGCGGAAACGTAGCATGCACGACCTTGGATACGACAAGGGACGTACCAACGACGTCTTCATATCAACGGTGTCTTGATAGGGAGTCCCACTTTCACCGGCTCGGAAAACGCGCAGCTGTGTCTTAAGAGCGAAATTGGCTCAACTCGCAGTGGCAGCTCCTAAGGAAAACATGAGTAGCTAGTTTCTTTCTACTGGCGGCATCCTGCGCGTGTGCGCCTCCGCGTGAGGTAGGTGGGTGGGGCTTGTCGGTATCTTCGTTAGTCCGCATGCGTACTACATGCGCACTAGGTTTATGGACGTCGCGCTTTCTAGCTCAGTAAGGGCTAAGCTCGACGCGACGCGGGAGTAGGCAACGCGGAACGCGACTAGCTTAGTGTCCGCGATTGCATGTGTGGCGCCCATCGTTGGCAGACGCGCGGGGTGAGGATGCAGTGAGTTTGCGTTCCTACCGGACCGACGCTGCGCACAGACGAGTCTTTGAGTAGTTTCGGAAACCCTAGAAACCCCAAGGAACGCTACTGAGTCCCGAGCTATTATTATGCTAGAGTACGCATGCGCATTTCCGCCATTAGCATCGTTCCCAAAATATACACGTGCATAATTACAATTAGGAGGACAAAAAAACAAACAAACAAACAAACAAACAAAACAAAGTGAAGGTTCAGACCACGCCGTCCAGAAATGGAGCGGGTGACAGGCACTGCCGGCACGACTCAATCGGGGAAATCCCAAAGCGTTGGCGACCTATGTCATCGGCAGTTGTGGCTATTGGCTCCACGCGGGCGCGCGCGTTGTCGTATTACCAGACGAGGCCGCTTGATTGAGACATCATCTCATACATCAGTAATTTACAAGGATACAAAACAATAATAACGTTTGAGTGACATAAGCGTTTCTAACAGTTCTTTATTTTGAGGACCAGTAACTTGGCTCTTTTTCCTTCTGTTTCTTCTTCTTCTTCGAGTGAGTATGAAGAACTAAGCCGACAACGACTGAGAGAAATCCCACTGCGGCTGCAGTCACTACGAAAGGTTACAATGATGGAGACTTGCTGGTGTTTCAAGCAGAAGTTGCGGGCCTTCTGAGGCAAGCCACCGCAAAGAAAAAGTGGAAGGTGCCCGTAGAGTCTGGGGTACTCTTAGTGTCTGTTCTTCTGGTACCATTCAAAGTGCAATAAAAAAGGTCTGTGCCATTGACTCTTTGCGAGTTAGAAAGAAAACTAGAGAATTGTCAAATGGCAAGGTGTGTTGGTGGTTTGTCCTACATGACGATGAGGCCAATCTGCGTGCTATTGATGAGAAATGGGAGCAAGTTGAGCTCCAAACATCTTGGAAGCTGGAGCCATGTTATCGATCTGCCTCAATTACTAACCAGCAGGTTTCACCCATTGATGACAACCTACCAACTCATGAAATACCTGCTACTCCAACTCCACCTCTATGTCCACAGTCGCAATCTGTTTCAATTTCTCATGAGCCTTCACCTGTTCCTGGCGTAACTGAGTCAAACCATAGTTTTTTAGCCAACAGCCTACAATCTCACCAGTCACAGCTGCAACGGCAGCTGGAGGACGTCTGATTCCCTCAGAGAACACACTAAACATTGTTTACTGCAATGCACGAAGCCTGTTGCCAAAACTGGATGACCTAAAAGGTATAATTGAAACTGAATCCCCTGATATAATATGTATTGTTGAGACATGGTTGCCAAGGTTGCCATGGTTGCAGTATCAAATTATCAGATATTCCGACGTGACAGAAATCGTCATGGTGGTGGGGTAGTGATGTATGTTCATTCTTGTTTAACCGTTGATTTGCATGCTTGTGTTGCAGATATTGAGTTTATTAGTATTTGTGTTACTGTATCAAACTATTTATCTCCTAAATTTTGTATAGCACTTTACTACCGGCCTCCTAGTGCAAGTGTGGAATGTTTTGATTGTCTTTCTAGGAATCTGTATAATCTAAATCCCTCTTCTTTCAATAAATTTATTCTTGTAGGTGATTTTAATGTAAACTATTTTTGTACTCATTCCTATATACCTTTCCTCAAATTTGATGTATATAGTCTATCTCCATTCAATCTAACTCAAGTTGTGGAATTTGGTACTCATGCAAGTCAATCCATGCTTGATTTAATTTTTGTTTCCACGGCATCTTTTTTTGTACAGTTGTTCCGTTCTCCCTCCACTAGGAAACTCTGATCACTGTGGTCTCCAGCTGGTGGTGCAAATGAAAGGTGTGAAAAAGAAAAAAACAAATCAACGTATTTTATGGAATTACAAACGGGCTGATTTTGCGAAAGCCAGACACATGATAAACATCACTAACTGGGACCAATTGTTCTCCACTGATATCAATATCTCTCTCGAAAATTGGCAAAACCACTTTTTACTTATAATGGACAAATGTATCCCTAAATCTCGTCCTTTAAGATGTCGCCTTCCATGGCTAACACTAAGAATTCTGAAATTGATAAATAAGAAAAAAGGTTATATAAGTTGGGAA